ACACAATGACCATATACATTGAACTAAATGAATCACATGACAGTTGGACACATTAAACGACAAAAAATGATTGCTAATATTAGCAACTGATAGACAAGCAGCTCCCCTCAATCAAGCTCTACCTGCAGTTTTGTTCTTGGTAGAAGTGATGTGCAAGAATGGATGGATCATCAGCAAAACCCTAAGTTAAGGTCCCCCCATTTACAGTGCCACACAGCACCATACAGCACTGTAAAAGGGGGGACCTTAACTTAGGGTTTTGCTGATGATGGACTTGGACAATGACTAAAAGAAAGGAATGTATACTTTAGTCTCATGCTAATAGAGCAGCAGACTATAACTAACCTAAAAGAAAGGAATCATCAGGGAAAACCTCCCATGCAAACTAGGGTAAAGTAGACATAAGTGAGCTAGACTACCATAAGTTAGATCTGAATAGATATAAACTCACCAGTCTTCATAAGATATGGATAATAATTAGAATTCTATCTAAGGGCCACAAAACTATGCCTATCCATGTAATAATTAACAAAAAATGTATTACATTCCTTGAGGATGTTGCTACTTGTCCAATGATGAGGTGGCACTCATCCAAACATCAGGATCAGGTGTATACTGCAAGCAATGTTTGAAACAGGGATTATGCTAGCAATTCTCTCACCTGAACAGACCAAACAAGAAATTTTGTACATGCCATGCTGCGAGTCTGGCATCAAAGGAAATGGGGTGAACCACTCAATATATGCAAGGTATTCGGGAGGTTGGCATGTTGGAGGGAACATTGACTATGCATCTTTTTGTTGAAGTGAGAAAATGGTGCGAATTTGACTAACACAATAACCTGTAAATAAATTGTATAAGTAAAGACAACATGATACTAGAAAATGCTGTGCCATATCATTGTTATGAACTCAGATAGAGTGTCGTTCCAATAAAGGAATCAAGATCAAGGTCGATCAAGGACTGGGCCTTATCAAGTCAATGCCTCCCTCAGGAGTGATCATCTAGACTCCCACAGGATCTAAGGTTCAAATGGGACAATGGCTAGCCTCCTTCCCAAGGAGCTAGAGTTTGAGTATCAAGGAGAACCAAGTTGATTCAAGTTAGAGAAAATACAAGTGGTAACTAGGGTTTATATATGTAGAGGAATCGTGCACAGACCAAGCTGGGCAAAGGGTAACTAGTACTGGAAATGGAAGGTTCATGAGAAAACAAGGTATGAGTCAGAGATAAGAGAGACCATGAGGAAACAGCACAGTGAAAAGGAAGCGTTAGAAGTACAGCCATATAGGAGTCCACAGTGATGATGAGAAAAAGAGTGGGGCACTGTAACAATCATCAATACCCACAGAATCACCAGTACCATTATTTATAAGTGCAGTATTGAAACATGCAGGTATAGCATCATTTCGTCCATGAGTGGCAGTGTGACCAGGCTTAATGTGGATGCTATCCACTGTGATGAGTGGGTCACCATGTCCTTGAGCATCAACAGATATCCACTTGATCTTGTGGTATACAGCCACAGAATGGAATGGTAGCAGAACACTCACCAGTCCCTGTAGCTATGATGCATCAAGTATGCTACTTAGCAGTCCTATAGTCTGTTAAGGTCGTACTCAAAGGATAACTGGATCTGAAGGGCTTCGGCCTCAGCTCATGTGCTGTGCCCCTTACCTGAGTATTGCCCCTTATTTCAGGAAGGCAAGACTAGCACGTCCGGAAGGTCAGATGAGTAGTGTAATGGATCCAGATGACTTCTGGATGAGGGATAAGTATCATAAGGCTAATCCGGATGAGTCCAGACTAGAAACTAATGGTAATGGACTGTCGGAGACAGAGGCAGATACAGATAGACTATAGGAATCAATCCTAAGTCTCGGAGGGTGATGAGAGTAGAGGTACTCAAGTCTGGAGGACAGGAATGAGTAGAACTAAGATGATATTCAAACTGAGGTACTACAGAAAGTTACAGGAGGTTATATACTATAGGTATCTAACGGAATGATCAATCAGCAGAGTCCAAGGCTATGTATGAAGCATGTGGATAGTCTATTGGTAAGTAGAGGCGGATCACAAATCATGAAACAGAAATGAAACATAGGTAGCAGATCAGGGAGCAGGACGGATATACAGATAACCAAAATACCAGAGTTAGGGGGTTACCGAAAGGAGATGAGCACTGGTTGTGGATTTGGATGAGTTGTGGACCGGACCAGACAAGTGGACAGATTGAATGACAAGATGTTGGAGGGAGATAAGATGTGGATAGGATCAGAGATAAGATGTGGATCTGAGATGAGATAAGGGTCGGATCTGAGATCTGGATATGTGGATATGACATAGTCTATAGCTTGGTCAATTACTTTGCAGCTTGGTCATTTGTATTTTGGTCAATTTTCCAGTCGAGTCTTCAGCAACTTAATTCACTTTGAATGTCAAATAACAGCTGGTGATGGATTGAACATCAGGTACAGTGCAGAAGTAGGTTAGAGAATGTTGGGAATCATGAGGTCTGGTAATGAATGTTCAGCCAACTGAGGTGGTGGGTCAATGGGACCTTCCAGCAAAAGAAAGGGTGCCCACAGCACACAAAAATGGTCTGCAAACCTGTGATGGATGTTAGCCTGTTGGGCAGCATAAGCTCACAAACCTTCAATGTCAGCAGCACACTCCCCAATGCATGCCTTTCCCTGTTCTTCCCACTGTGCTCACTGCCAGGTAAAAAATTCCAGCACCTTGTGCATCTCTTCCGACCATCACAGTGCCCTCGCATGGCTTTTGCACCACTTGATTTGTACACCTTATAGTATGTTAGTTTGCAAAATAAAGACCATGATGAGTGCTTACCATTGTTGTCACCTTCATTGCCATGATCAACACCATCCATCATCCAAATCCATGATACATGACATCTCCCTTCACCAGTAGCATATGGGTCCACAAGGGGTTTGACATAATTGTTGGCCAGTTCCTGCAACCTGCCCTGCCAACTGGTCTTCTTCATGATTGTAGCTAGGCTCTTGAGTGCCATCCATGCTGACCAATAATGTTTCACACAGGCCATGCACCTTTGGTAGATGTGGGCCAGGGCATTCTGAGCACAAGTATTTGCACCTTGACCATGCACCCATTCCCTTTTGAATGTCAGTAAGGAGCAGTGAATGCATAGACACTGCCAAAGTTCTTCTAGCACATCATGAGCCTGCACATAGCACAATTCCCATTTGTCATCTTGTAGGCGTGGATCACATGGCTTGGTTTTCAGTTGTGAAGGTAACCAGAGGTGTATACATTCAGCATTCTTGTGGCCTTCACATGCAGCTGCCTGGAGCCCCTTCAGTGACAAACTCTGTATTATATGGGTCACCCGACCTACATAATATTCCGTATAAGACGGGCCAGCGGACTATGGGCCAATGTTATGTATATCCTCAATGTTGACAAGTGGGCTGGGAGGGATATTATTTCCGATGGGGATGGGTGGGCCCATCTATGCCAATGTTATAAATATCCTTGACAATGGTGGATGGGCCAGAAGAAATATTATTACCAATGGAGATAGGTGGGCTCATCTGGGCAATATGTAGAGTAGGATAGACATATATTATAGACAGCTGGGCTGAAGAGAGATGTATGGTAGATATTATTATATAGACAGGTGGGCCAACATATTAGTATTATTTTGTAGATGGGTGGGCTGAGGTGGGGGTTATATTAGATAGATGGGTGAGCCAATGTAGGGTATATTAGATAGATGGGTGGGCCAATGGAGGGGGATGTCATATAAATGGGTGGGCTGACGTAGGGTATATTAGATAGATGGGTGGGCCGATGTAGGGTATATTAGATAGACGGGTGGGCCAATGGAGGGGGATGTCATATAAACAGGTGGGCCCAGATACATATCATTTAGACATATTGGCCAAGGTATTGGTATACTATATGGACATATGAGCAATGGTGTTGCACTAGTTTTGATCTGAGTCATCAATGACATTCAGACTCAGATCCTGTCAACATTGATCAAAGTCAACACAGCGAGTACTGAGTCCCAAAACCTGAACATCGAACCCCGAACATCAAAACCCAAAACCCAAAACTTTGAAACACCAACATCAAAACTCAAAACTCAAACATTTTTATGACTGTCAAGTTTCCAGTCTTGAATCACTGAGTCCCAAATACTGAATGCTGACACCTGAAGTTGTGTTGGTACTTGGACTTCAGGACTTGGTGATTCAATACTCAAAAGTCATACCAATATCTGAATTTCAAGTTTCAAGTTTCAAGTTTTGGGGCTTGAATCACTGAGTCCTGAGTCCTGAACATTGAAACACAACACCTGAAACTGGAAAGTCATACCAATATCTGAATTTCGAGTGTCGAATGTCAAGACTCAAATCACCAAGTCCCAAAACCCAAAACCCAAAACCCAAAACCCAAAACCCAAAACCCAAAACTCAAAAGTTGTAAAAATGTATGAGTTTTGAGTTTGAAAATCAAGACTCAAAACTCATACATTTTTACAACTGCTGAGTTTTGAGTGCTGTTGAGTTTTGGGTGTTGGGTTTTGGGTTTCAGGACTTGGTGATTCGAGTCTTGAAACTCAAAACTCAAAACTCAAAATTCAGATATTGGTACAACTGTCAAGTTTCAGGTGTTGGGTTTCAATGTTCAGGTTTCAGGTTTCAGGACTCTGTGATTCAAGTCTTGAAACTTGAAACTCAAAATTCAGATATTGGTATGACTTTCGAGTTTTGGGTGTTGGGTTTCGATGTTTGGGACTCAGGACTCGGTGATTTGAGTCTCAAAACTCAACACCCAAAATTCAGATATTGGTACAACTTTCCAGTTTTGGGTGTCGGGTTTCGAGTTTCAATGTTTGTTTCTAACTTTTGGGTTTCAGTACTCAGTTCTTGAGACTCAGTGATTGAATAAATGGACTGACAGAGGTAACATTCATTGAAAAACTTGTATATATGTCTATCACTATGCAATTATGTAGCCATGTCAACCTCCTCAGAAGACACTTCAACCTTCACCTCAACATCCATGTCATTGGAAGAATCATATTCTGGGACCAGGTTGCCTGGATCACCTGGGTTCACATTTTTGCTGGACATATCTGGAACCTCTGGTTGAACAATCCAGTTGCACTCAAACAGGAGGCCCTCAATGGCAGAGGCATCCTCAAATTTTGGGGGTGTGGTCATCATCTCTCCAATCGAGAGATCAATGAGAGGAGGGAGTGCAGATGCAGATGGTGACATGGACAGGGGATGGATTGATCAAGCAACAAGGATGTTGCATTGGCCAGAGGTTTGGGAAGTGGGAATGTGGGGTGCTGGTCAACAATTTCGCGCTAAGGCCTTCATGGAGGCATTGCAGGGTATCAATCTTACCATCCTGCTCTGCCACATGAGCCCCGAGAATGGCAATGCAAGCTGTGCCATCCCAAATCGCAATTGCCATGGCATGGAGATCCGGCATGGGCAGGTTGAGTGCTGCAGCAGGGACTGCCAGACTGGGTGCTGCAGCAGGGACTGCCGAACTTGATGACAGAAGTGCTACAAGGGAAAATTAAAGTCAGATGGTGATGAAACAAAACTTGGGTGACTTCTGAGCTGGTGCAGGTGCAGGTGCCTTGATGGCAGTGATGGTCTTGCTGCAACCATGCATCTGGGTCTTGGGGGTTGTCATAGCAGTGACACCCAGAGTTCTGGACTTGCCACAAGACTGACTGTGGGTCCAGGCCTTGGATTGGGAGCCAGGGGGAGCTTTGGAGGGAGCCTTGGAGGGTGTCCTGGACCTTGTGTTCTGGGTGGTAGAGGACCCATGAATGTGTTTTGGCAGGGTACTAATAATCGTGGGGATGCACTTGACCTTCTTTGTTGTGCAGCAGACACATGACATACACAGATTCCTGGTCCTCTTGTCTAACCAAGTTGCACAGGGCCACTTGAGCTTGGTGCAAACCTAGCATGGGTTGTTCTGTGGATTGTGTTAGTGAATGGACACTTGTCAAATAAATCAAAGTACTCAATGGTCTGGGAATGAGAATATCACTTCCATCAATGACTGGGGGTGCCTCCACCGGGCTTTCGGGAGTTGGCTGGGAGGGCTCAATGACCGCCAGGTGACTGCCAGCAATCACCTGGTACAGTGTGAGCATACACCCAAGTCCTGGACACATAAATGTGACTTACTGTAGCAGGGACAAAGGGCTTTTTGGTTGGAACCCGGGGTGATCTAGGTGAATTGGAGAGCCTGGGAAGGACGACTTCCGGTACTCCACCCAACAATGGCTACAAGAAAATGTGAGCCAAGTCAAAGATGAACCAGACAACATACCTGAATACCCACGTCTTCCTCATCTTCCGAGTCCACTAGGGGCTTGGACATCACCCAGTGAGAGGACTTGGCATGTCCACAGACATCAGGACAGCTGCTATGTCTGATATGCATTGAATTTTATTGAAGGCATCAGTCGGATTGATGGTGAGATCATGGAGACCCTATGGTCGCGTCTGAACCTGATTTCCCCTGCTGCTCGGGGAATGTCATCCCTGCATTGAAAGGAATGTCTTGATTATCAGATGAATGATTCCAATTTCTGCAAGATGATCCACATGAAAAGGACTCTTTGCCATAAATACAAGCAGGCGAAGAATGGCATCGCCAAAAGTGAAAAGGCTTTCAACAGACATGATGAAGCAGTGCCCACAGCTTCAAAGAAAGAATGGTTAGCCAGCAAGAGGATCACTCAGTCCAGCAGAATAAATGATCCTGTGGCGATGGATGTATATGAGATTAATATCAAGAAGGGTAAGTTGACTTTGGCTACATCAAAGTCAGAATTAATTGTTGCACTCAGCACCAAGCAAAAAGGAGATCAAGCTTAGACTGCTGGAGGAGGGTAATGCCTGTAATGCAGCACCTGCTCACAGATCAGTGGCAACATGGATATCAATGTGGTTGGCAATTGAAGAGGCTCAAATTGCATTGGTTGTTGAGCTCCGAAGAATTGGAAGAAGAACTACAGAGACACAGAGATTAGACATCGCCCAGCAATGCGATCATCTCCAAGGCCAGAAAGATGGATTCACTTGGTCTGCTCTTACACATCTGGGAGAGGGATTTGATGCAGATGATGATCCTGATGACTTGAATGTAGACATTCTCGATGATCTTGATGATGACCTGGCAGATTTCACTGACACATCTGATACATGGGCAAACTCCCCCAAGCTCACTGTCATCCCATTGCCATCAAACCTTGGGGTAGATCAAAGCAGATGCTGTATGGCAGAGGATCTGATTCTGCTGGAGATGTTGCTTTGTGAAGGACAGGCCAATGATGCCCTTCACAACCTCCAGATTCACTTGTGCAACAAGGTGATCCTGTTCTGAACAATGGTCAGGCAGGCCAAATCTCAAGCCCTGAAAACTCAAGCTTGGTCCCAGGTGATGTTGGTGCAGCAGGCAGTATCCCTCCATGCCAGTATATATACAAAGACCCAGAAGCAAATGATGCAACTCAAGCTGGGCCAAGACCAGCTTCAGACATACAAACCACTGCTTTGGGAGCTGCTCAAAATCAGCACTGCCATCAGCGATCCAAATGCCCAAGGTCAGCGGAATGAGTCCTGCGCTTGGTTCTGGTCCATCGATGTGGACCTGGGGGGTCCAGATCACTTGTGGAATGAGGAATGTGAGTTCAGGCATGCTTGATGTATCCAGTGCTCAGCTGATGGGACCCATCTGAAGTTTACTGAGTTCATTGGCTTCGGGCAAAGGCCCTATGGGATCAATGGAAGGAAGAAATGACATTGGTCCAATTGGAGATGGATTGGACATGTAACTTTTTCTTGTGGAAAGCAACCCAATGGGGCGACAGGATGTGGGAATCATTGGTGAAACACCTTCCGGGTCATTCATGCTACTCGGGAAGGCAATCCCAAATGTATTCATTACTGGCACAGGATGCCCAGGCAGCATTTCAAGACCTGCAGAGTGGGTTCATAGATGCTCGAGATGAATGAACTTTTTTGCCAATGATATGAAACAGCTACTTCAGCCCAAACATTTGAGTCTTGGAAAATGCCTGGATGAACAAACATCCAAGTTTGAAAAATTTTATCCATCAACTGGTGGCTCATATCTTCACATCCAAACCAACTGGCATTGTGATTGTGATTTCCAGCTTCATACTCCTGCATTAGCCATGCCTGTATTGCAAACTCCTCCTGCATCCCCTTCTGATGCCATGGATTCTGGCAATGAATACCAACCCCTAAGGGCTTGAATGGCTGGGAGGTAAAGGACCTGTGTACATTGCCACATATTGATCCTATGACTGTTACAGTACCCCTATTCTTTTTCTCACCATCACTGCGGATGCCTAATGGCTGTACTATTAATGCTTCCTTTTCACTGTGCTGTTTCCTCATGGTCTCTCTTATCTCTGACCCATACCTTGTTTTCCCATGAACCTTCCATTCTTAGTACTAGTTACCCTTTGCCCAGCTTGGTCTGTGCACAATTCCCTTACATATATAAACTCTAGTTACTGCTTGTATTTCCTCTAACTTAAATCTACTCAGTTCTCTTTCATACTCAAACTCTAGCTCCTTGGGAAGGAGGCTAGCCACTGTCCCATTTGAACTCTAGATCCTGCAGGAGTCTAGATGATCACTCCTGAGGGAGGCATTGACTTGATAAGGCTTAGTCCTTGATTGACCTTGATCCTTGATTCCTTTATTGGAATGATGCTCCATCTGAGTTCATAACAATGATGAAGTGAGTTCTGCATCTGTGTGAGACTGCCTTTCTGTGTGTTGGTAGCATGTTGACCCATCAACTTGGCAATATTGGCCAGATGATGCCTTCAAAAGTATGTCAGCTTGTTTGTGGCCATCAGAGGGCAATTGCTTACTGTTCCTCTTCCAGGTCTATGCCTGAAGCAATAAGCACACTAGGCGAGATTTCTGGGTGCAAAGAGGAGTCTATACCTCACTGAAGCTCCTTGGCCTCCAGCTCCATGAACTTTAGCCTTACTCCTGCTTGCATTCTAGCTAGACAAAATCATTAGTCCAAGGTAACTGTATAATAGCAGAAAATACTAACCCATGGCTTTGGTCTCAAGCAGATTAGAGATTGATGTGTCATTCAGATTATCTTCCCAAGTTTGCATTTCTGCTAACCATGTAGAGCAATGCTCAGGAGTGATGACAGGATCAAATTCCTTAAATGCGAGTGCATGTGCAGCCTTCTCAGCAAGAGCATCCTTCATCTTGTGCAGGAGAGACACATGCAGCCACAATGTCAATGGCTGCATTGCGCATCCGAGCAGCAATCTCCCAATATCAGACGGAGGCTGCCAACACTGAGGAGCCTTCCACTGCTCAGATCATTCCACCCTAGCCCATCCACATGACAGAACCCCAGCATAAACATGAACGGAATTGTGCCCCTTACCCGAGTATGTGCCCTTCATTTCATATGAGGTCCAATAATGGTCTAACAAAGTCTGGAGGACTTCCAGAGGCTGGCTACTCTGCTGGAGAGCACTAGAGGACTTCCAGAGGAGTGCAGGAGAGTTCCAGAGGAATACAGGAAGTGCTCAGGAGAGTTCCCACTGCAAGGTAATACTTCTACAGGAAACAGGATGGAAGGATAGGAGGTCCAAAGGTCCAGAGGACAGGAGGACAGGAGGACAGGAGGGCAGGATGATGGAGGACAGAAGGACAGGATGTCTGGAGGTACGAAGGACAGGAGGATAGGATGTCTGAGGGTTAGGAGGACAGAATGTCCAAAGGTACAGAGGGCGGAATGTCCAAAGGACAGGATGCCTGGAGGTACGAGGGACAGGAGGTCCGGAGGTCTGGAAGAAATAGGGGCTACATCGGACTTCATCCGATGTAGAAGCAAACAGAGGTAGACTACCCTAAGGTAGAGTTGGAGAGACAGGGATTGGACCTAAGTCCAGAAAGAGGGAAAGTGCCAGAAAGGCGGAGCTCTGGCCTAGGGAATCAATCCCTAGGCCTGATGGGTAGGACAGACTTAGGTGGACCAAAGTCCAAGAAAGGATTGGGCAAGTCTAAGTTGATATTCAAACTAAGGAACTACAGGAGTATCTACAGGGATTATATACTGAACAATATCTGAGGGGATCAGTAAGGAAAGGATCAAGGCTATGTACAAGCATGTGGAAACACATTAGTAAGTAAGTCAGAACATAAGTAAATGAGGACTCATACAAGGATCAGTAAGCAAGACGGAACAAGAGGTAACCGAAAGCCAGAAGGCAGAGAATGCCTAAATGGGGATAGGCGCAGGATATTGGACAGAGGGTGGAAATAGGTCTGGAGTTAATATCTGGAGGTCCGGAGATCTGGGGATCTGGAGGACAAGGTTGATACAGGACTGGAATATGAGAAGGTGGATATAGTCCAGAATCTGAGACAAGGTGAAGTCTGGATGTCTTGCTGGATGAAGTGCACATAGGGTGGACAGGATAGGGTTGTACGGATCAGGCTAGCAGTGAGGATCCAATGGTCCGGAGCTCAGGGGTAAATCCGGAGCGTAGTCGATCCTGCTGAGGTGTGGAGCACAGCGGAAGGGGATCTTGGAATGAGCTGGATATGATGTGGGGTCTGGATGTAGGCTCAGAAGGCGTGGGAATATGATGGAATGTGGGTCCAGATTGTGGGATATGACAGCTTGCTCAAACTCATGAATCCCCTAGAATCAGTTGGATCCAGAGGTATCTGCATCATTGAAGGGGGCATCCTCCAAGAAGATCCTCAAAGCCATTGAGAGGCCAGCAGCCATTGCAACAGCAGCACTCAGGGTGATGCATCCTGAGCAGTACTGGGCAGGTTTGTGAGCCTTTGCAAGCCTTGGAGAAAAGGCAGAAAGCAAGGAACTGCCAAAGATGTCAGAGACTCTCCAGTACTGGGCATCCATGTTTAACAGCCTGTCCGTCATTTCTAATCGGGAAACCCCCAATCATCGAGACCATCTATCTATTCCAGAATGCTTCAACATTCTCACTACCATGGGGAATTATTCCAATGCTTGGATGAGCATGCCAAGCCTTCAGCTGGAGTTCAGGTACGATCTGGGTTGCATGATTGTGTTTTCCAGAAGGATCATGAGACATGGGGTTCATGCAGTGGAAGGGGATCGCATTGCTTGGGCATGGTATATGAGGGATTCCGTTCATGTTTATGCTGGGGTTCTGTCATGTGGATGGGCTAGGGTGGAATGATCTGAGCAGTGGAAGGCTCCTCAGTGTTGGCAGCCTCCGTCTGATATTGGGAGATTGCTGCTCGGATGCGCAATGCAGCCATTGACATTGTGGCTGCATGTGTCTCTCCTGCACAAGATGAAGGATGCTCTTGCTGAGAAGGCTGCACATGCACTCGCATTTAAGGAATTTGATCCTGTCATCACTCCTGAGCATTGCTCTACATGGTTAGCAGAAATGCAAACTTGGGAAGATAATCTGAATGACACATCAATCTCTAATCTGCTTGAGACCAAAGCCATGGGTTAGTATTTTCTGCTATTATACAGTTACCTTGGACTAATGATTTTGTCTAGCTAGAATGCAAGCAGGAGTAAGGCTAAAGTTCATGGAGCTGGAGGCCAAGGAGCTTCAGTGAGGTATAGACTCCTCTTTGCACCCAGAAATCTCGCCTAGTGTGCTTATTGCTTCAGGCATAGACCTGGAAGAGGAACAGTAAGCAATTGCCCTCTGATGGCCACAAACAAGCTGACATACTTTTGAAGGCATCATCTGGCCAATATTGCCAAGTTGATGGGTCAACATGCTACCAACACACAGAAAGGCAGTCTCACACAGATGCAGAACTCACTTCATCATTGTTATGAACTCAGATGGAGCATCATTCCAATAAAGGAATCAAGGATCAAGGTCAATCAAGGACTAAGCCTTATCAAGTCAATGCCTCCCTCAGGAGTGATCATCTAGACTCCTGCAGGATCTAGAGTTCAAATGGGACAGTGGCTAGCCTCCTTCCCAAGGAGCTAGAGTTTGAGTATGAAAGAGAACTGAGTAGATTTAAGTTAGAGGAAATACAAGCAGTAACTAGAGTTTATATATGTAAGGGAATTGTGCACAGACCAAGCTGGGCAAAGGGTAACTAGTACTAAGAATGGAAGGTTCATGGGAAAACAAGGTATGGGTCAGAGATAAGAGAGACCATGAGGAAACAGCACAGTGAAAAGGAAGCATTAATAGTACAGCCATTAGGCATCCGCAGTGATGGTGAGAAAAAGAATAGGGGTACTGTAACAGTCATAGGATCAATATGTGGCAATGTACACAGGTCCTTTACCTCCCAGCCATTCAAGCCCTTAGGGGTTGGTATTCATTGCCAGAATCCATGGCATCAGAAGGGGATGCAGGAGGAGTTTGCAATACAGGCATGGCTAATGCAGGAGTATGAAGCTGGAAATCACAATCACAATGCCAGTTGGTTTGGATGTGAAGATATGAGCCACCAGTTGATGGATAAAATTTTTCAAACTTGGATGTTTGTTCATCCAGGCATTTTCCAAGACTCAAATGTTTGGGCTGAAGTAGCTGTTTCATATCATTGGCAAAAAAGTTCATTCATCTCGAGCATCTATGAACCCACTCTGCAGGTCTTGAAATGCTGCCTGGGCATCCTGTGCCAGTAATGAATACATTTGGGATTGCCTTCCCGAGTAGCATGAATGACCCGGAAGGTGTTTCACCAATGATTCCCACATCCTGTCGCCCCATTGGGTTGCTTTCCACAAGAAAAAGTTACATGTCCAATCCATCTCCAATTGGACCAATGTCATTTCTTCCTTCCATTGATCCCATAGGGCCTTTGCCCGAAGCCAATGAACTCAGTAAACTTCAGATGGGTCCCATCAGCTGAGCACTGGATACATCAAGCATGCCTGAACTCACATTCCTCATTCCACAAGTGATCTGGACCCCCCAGGTCCACATCGATGGACCAGAACCAAGCGCAGGACTCATTCCGCTGACCTTGGGCATTTGGATCGCTGATGGCAGTGCTGATTTTGAGCAGCTCCCAAAGCAGTGGTTTGTATGTCTGAAGCTGGTCTTGGCCCAGCTTGAGTTGCATCATTTGCTTCTGGGTCTTTGTATATATACTGGCATGGAGGGATACTGCCTGCTGCACCAACATCACCTGGGACCAAGCTTGAGTTTTCAGGGCTTGAGATTTGGCCTGCCTGACCATTGTTCAGAACAGGATCACCTTGTTGCACAAGTGAATCTGGAGGTTGTGAAGGGCATCATTGGCCTGTCCTTCACAAAGCAACATCTCCAGCAGAATCAGATCCTCTGCCATACAGCATCTGCTTTGATCTACCCCAAGGTTTGATGGCAATGGGATGACAGTGAGCTTGGGGGAGTTTGCCCATGTATCAGATGTGTCAGTGAAATCTGCCAGGTCATCATCAAGATCATCGAGAATGTCTACATTCAAGTCATCAGGATCATCATCTGCATCAAATCCCTCTCCCAGATGTGTAAGAGCAGACCAAGTGAATCCATCTTTCTGGCCTTGGAGATGATCGCATTGCTGGGCGATGTCTAATCTCTGTGTCTCTGTAGTTCTTCTTCCAATTCTTCGGAGCTCAACAACCAATGCAATTTGAGCCTCTTCAATTGCCAACCACATTGATATCCATGTTGCCACTGATCTGTGAGCAGGTGCTGCATTACAGGCATTACCCTCCTCCAGCAGTCTAAGCTTGATCTCCTTTTTGCTTGGTGCTGAGTGCAACAATTAATTCTGACTTTGATGTAGCCAAAGTCAACTTACCCTTCTTGATATTAATCTCATATACATCCATCGCCACAGGATCATTTATTCTGCTGGACTGAGTGATCCTCTTGCTGGCTAACCATTCTTTCTTTGAAGCTGTGGGCACTGCTTCATCATGTCTGTTGAAAGCCTTTTCACTTTTGGCGATGCCATTCTTCGCCTGCTTGTATTTATGGCAAAGAGTCCTTTTCATGTGGATCATCTTGCAGAAATTGGAATCATTCATCTGATAATCAAGACATTCCTTTCAATGCAGGGATGACATTCCCCGAGCAGCAGGGGAAATCAGGTTCAGACGCGACCATAGGGTCTCCATGATCTCACCATCAATCCGACTGATGCCTTCAATAAAATTCAATGCATATCAGACATAGCAGCTGTCCTGATGTCTGTGGACATGCCAAGTCCTCTCACTGGGTGATGTCCAAGCCCCTAGTGGACTCGGAAGATGAGGAAGACGTGGGTATTCAGGTATGTTGTCTGGTTCATCTTTGACTTGGCTCACATTTTCTTGTAGCCATTGTTGGGTGGAGTACCGGAAGTCGTCCTTCCCAGGCTCTCCAATTCACCTAGATCACCCCGGGTTCCAACCAAAAAGCCCTTTGTCCCTGCTACAGTAAGTCACATTTATGTGTCCAGGACTTGGGTGTATGCTCACACTGTACCAGGTGATTGCTGGCAGTCACCTGGCGGTCATTGAGCCCTCCCAGCCAACTCCCGAAAGCCCGGTGGAGGCACCCCCAGTCATTGATGGAAGTGATATTCTCATTCCCAGACCATTGAGTACTTTGATTTATTTGACAAGTGTCCATTCACTAACACAATCCACAGAACAACCCATGCTAGGTTTGCACCAAGCTCAAGTGGCCCTGTGCAACTTGGTTAGACAAGAGGACCAGGAATCTGTGTATGTCATGTGTCTGCTGCACAACAAAGAAGGTCAAGTGCATCCCCACGATTATTAGTACCCTGCCAAAACACATTCATGGGTCCTCTACCACCCAGAACACAAGGTCCAGGACACCCTCCAAGGCTCCCTCCAAAGCTCCCCTGGCTCCCAATCCAAGGCCTGGACCCACAGTCAGTCTTGTGGCAAGTCCAGAACTCTGGGTGTCACTGCTATGACAACCCCCAAGACCCAGATGCATGGTTGCAGCAAGACCATCACTGCCATCAAGGCACCTGCACCTGCACCAGCTCAGAAGTCACCCAAGTTTTGTTTCATCACCATCTGACTTTAATTTTCCCTTGTAGCACTTCTGTCATCAAGTTCGGCAGTCCCTGCTGCAGCACCCAGTCTGGCAGTCCCTGCTGCAGCACTCAACCTGCCCATGCCGGATCTCCATGCCATGGCAATTGCGATTTGGGATGGCACAGCTTGCATTGCCATTCTCGGGGCTCATGTGGCAGAGCAGGATGGTAAGATTGATACCCTGCAATGCCTCCATGAAGGCCTTAGCGCGAAATTGTTGACCAGCACCCCACATTCCCACTTCCCAAACCTCTGGCCAATGCAACATCCTTGTTGCTTGATCAATCCATCCCCTGTCCATGTCACCATCTGCATCTGCACTCCCTCCTCTCATTGATCTCTCGATTGGAGAGATGATGACCACACCCCCAAAATTTGAGGATGCCTCTGCCATTGAGGGCCTCCTGTTTGAGTGCAACTGGATTGTTCAACCAGAGGTTCCAGATATGTCCAGCAAAAATGTGAACCCAGGTGATCCAGGCAACCTGGTCCCAGAATATGATTCTTCCAATGACATGGATGTTGAGGTGAAGGTTGAAGTGTCTTCTGAGGAGGTTGACATGGCTACATAATTGCATAGTGATAGACATATATACAAGTTTTTCAATGAATGTTACCTCTGTCAGTCCATTTATTCAATCACTGAGTCTCAAGAACTGAGTACTGAAACCCAAAAGTTAGAAACAAACATTGAAACTCGAAACCCGACACCCAAAACTGGAAAGTTGTACCAATATCTGAATTTTGGGTGTTGAGTTTTGAGACTCAAATCACCGAGTCCTGAGTCCCAAACATCGAAACCCAACACCCAAAACTCGAAAGTCATACCAATATCTGAATTTTGAGTTTCAAGTTTCAAGACTTGAATCACAGAGTCCTGAAACCTGAAACCTGAACATTGAAACCCAACACCTGAAACTTGACAGTTGTACCAATATCTGAATTTTGAGTTTTGAGTTTTGAGTTTCAAGACTCGAATCACCAAGTCCTGAAACCCAAAACCCAACACCCAAAACTCAACAGCACTCAAAACTCAGCAGTTGTAAAAATGTATGAGTTTTGAGTCTTGATTTTCAAACTCAAAACTCATACATTTTTACAACTTTTGAGTTTTGGGTTTTGGGTTTTGGGTTTTGGGTTTTGGGTTTTGGGTTTTGGGACTTGGTGATTTGAGTCTTGACATTCGACACTCGAAATTCAGATATTGGTATGACTTTCCAGTTTCAGGTGTTGTGTTTCAATGTTCAGGACTCAGGACTCAGTGATTCAAGCCCCAAAACTTGAAACTTGAAACTTGAAATTCAGATATTGGTATGACTTTTGAGTATTGAATCACCAAGTCCTGAAGTCCAAGTACCAACACAACTTCAGGTGTCAGCATTCAGTATTTGGGACTCAGTGATTCAAGACTGGAAACTTGACAGTCATAAAAATGTTTGAGTTTTGAGTTTTGATGTTGGTGTTTCAAAGTTTTGGGTTTTGGGTTTTGATGTTCGGGGTTCGATGTTCAGGTTTTGGGACTCAGTACTCGCTGTGTTGACTTTGATCAATGTTGACAGGATCTGAGTCTGAATGTCATTGATGACTCAGATCAAAACTAGTGCAACACCATTGCTCATATGTCCATATAGTATACCAATACCTTGGCCAATATGTCTAAATGATATGTATCTGGGCCCACCTGTTTATATGACATCCCCCTCCATTGGCCCACCCGTCTATCTAATATACCCTACATCGGCCCACCCATCTATCTAATATACCCTACGTCAGCCCACCCATTTATATGACATCCCCCTCCATTGGCCCACCCATCTATCTAATATACCCTACATTGGCTCACCCATCTATCTAATATAACCCCCACCTCAGCCCACCCATCTACAAAATAATACTAATATGTTGGCCCACCTGTCTATATAATAATATCTACCATACATCTCTCTTCAGCCCAGCTGTCTATAATATATGTCTATCCTACTCTACATATTGCCCAGATGAGCCCACCTATCTCCATTGGTAATAATATTTCTTCTGGCCCATCCACCATTGTCAAGGATATTTATAACATTGGCATAGATGGGCCCACCCATCCCCATCGGAAATAATATCCCTCCCAGCCCACTTGTCAACATTGAGGATATACATAACATTGGCCCATAGTCCGCTGGCCCGTCTTATACGGAATATTATGTAGGTCGGGTGACCCATATAATACAGAGTTTGTCACTGAAGGGGCTCCAGGCAGCTGCATGTGAAGGCCACAAGAATGCTGAATGTATACACCTCTGGTTACCTTCACAACTGAAAACCAAGCCATGTGATCCACGCCTACAAGATGACAAATGGGAATTGTGCTATGTGCAGGCTCATGATGTGCTAGAAGAACTTTGGCAGTGTCTATGCATTCACTGCTCCTTACTGACATTCAAAAGGGAATGGGTGCATGGTCAAGGTGCAAATACTTGTGCTCAGAATGCCCTGGCCCACATCTACCAAAGGTGCATGGCCTGTGTGAAACATTATTGGTCAGCATGGATGGCACTCAAGAGCCTAGCTACAATCATGAAGAAGACCAGTTGGCAGGGCAGGTTGCAGGAACTGGCCAACAATTATGTCAAACCCCTTGTGGACCCATATGCTACTGGTGAAGGGAGATGTCATGTATCATGGATTTGGATGATGGATGGTGTTGATCATGGCAATGAAGGTGACAACAATGGTAAGCACTCATCATGGTCTTTATTTTGCAAACTAACATACTATAAGGTGTACAAATCAAGTGGTGCAAAAGCCATGCGAGGGCACTGTGATGGTCGGAAGAGATGCACAAGGTGCTGGAATTTTTTACCTGGCAGTGAGCACAGTGGGAAGAACAGGGAAAGGCATGCATTGGGGAGTGTGCTGCTGACATTGAAGGTTTGTGAGCTTATGCTGCCCTACACCGTCAGAATCAGAGGAGATATGGTGGAGACACAAGGCTTACAAAATCATGACTCATGCGGACAGTTTTTTGAGCACATATTAAAACTATATAAATCATCATTTATGACACCATAACAATCATGCCACCATTAAATAAATTATAAAGTGGTGTCATTATGTCATTTTAAAACCATATCTAACTATACAAACCAAAAATTTTCATATGTCATGGTTATATTCACCATGAAAGCCACCCCCCCTGCTCAAAGGAATAATATCCTCTCTCTTTCCTATTCTGGCCTCTCTGCTTGTCAAATTTCCTCTAGAACTGGAGTATCCAAGTCCACTGTGGCCAAGTTCATCAAAGAAAGTCACACAGACAAGGAAAACTTCTGTGAAGGGTGTCCATCCAAGCTCACCTCTACTGATAGGAGGGCTATTATTCAACATATCACTACAGGAAAGGCTGATAATGCTGTCCAGGTCACCTATTACATCAATTCCACCATCATATTCCCTGTCTCTTCACACACTGTGAGAAACATTCTCAAGACAGCTCATCTCAGGTCAGTAACAAGGAAGAAAAGGCTCTCCTCTCTATCACACATATGCAGAGAGGACTAGCACCCTTCTTTTTCCACATATATACCTTGCCATCTGACCCAATCCTATTTATTGTGGTCTTATATGATCATATAACATGCTTCCAGTCCATGTAATCCAATTCTGATGGGCTAAGGCAAAGGTTAGTCATCTCTGTTTATGTGTGATAGAGAGGAAAGCCTTTTCTTCCTTGTTACTGACCTGAGATGAGCTGTCTTGAGAATGTTTCTCACAGTGTGTGAAGAGACAGGGAATATGATGGTGGAATTGATGTAATAGGTGACCTGGACAGCATTATCAGCCTTTCCTGTAGTGATATGTTGAATAATAGCCCTCCTATCAGTAGAGGTGAGCTTGGATGGACACCCTTCACAGAAGTTTTCCTTGTCTGTGTGACTTTCTTTGATGAACTTGGCCACAGTGGACTTGGATACTCCAGTTCTAGAGGAAATTTGACAAGCAGAGAGGCCAGAATAGGAAAGAGAGAGGATATTATTCCTTTGAGCAGGGGGGGTGGCTTTCATGGTGAATATAACCATGACATATGAAAATTTTTGGTTTGTATAGTTAGATATGGTTTTAAAATGACATAATGACACCACTTTATAATTTATTTAATGATGGCATGATTGTTATGGTGTCATAAATGATGATTTATATAGTTTTAATATGTGCTCAAAAAACTGTCTGCATGAGTCATGATTTTGTAAGCCTTGTGTCTCCACCATATCTCCTCTGATTCTCATGATGTGGTGCTCAATCCAAAGCCCTGAAGCAGCACTACAATATGGTATTAGCATGTCACTGAGGTCTTTATGTATTCTCACACAATATTGTAAATAGTAAAAATGCAAAAACATGTGGACAGTTTTTTGAGCCACTGTATTCTTCCATCAATGCTCAGATATACAAGACCTGGTTGTTTAACAACAGGAAAAAGAAGGAAAGGAAGGATATGATAAAGTATGGGAGGAAATGGATGCCCAGGATGGTGATCTACCAGTGAAACCTGGAAGAGGTGCTAAAGAGGATCGAGGATGAGTCTGGGGCAAAGCCAGGAGGTCCCGGTATGTTCAAGCATTATCAGGCAGCTGTGAAGAGAATCATGGCTGAATTGTCCGATGATGAGTTGGAGAAGGTGAAGGAAACAGCCAAAGAATGGTCCAACAACTTTCCTCCTCCTGAGATACAGGCACAAGTTGCTCATAAGAAGGGACCTGCATACATGGAGCACTTTTTGAAGGAGATGTGGAGGCAATGTGGGATGAGAGTGTTTGTGATGTTGGCTTGGAAGAATGAACAGGGAGAGGTGCTGTTTGGGATGTAAGTGAATTGTGTTGGCCATCACAGATCTTTGATCTTAATAGATGTCATGCAGGCACAATGATAATGAGGCATTAGGAGATGGGGACAGCTTTATGAAGATGAAGGACTGGGAGGACATTGAGCCAGTTTGGCAGGAGTACATGCAGGAACAGTTTGGTGAGCATTTGAACTCTGGCTACTAGAAGGAATTTGTTGATCGTTGTGATGATAGGTGCCAGGGCATGGGATGGAGGACAACAGATGAAGGGAGGTCAAAAAAGAATCAGAAAGCCTGCTTTTGAACTGGAAACTGACAAAGATGGGATGCCGTTGCTTCCAGACATCACCAAAATGAAACTCAAGGAGAAGAAGGCCATAGTGAGGGCATTTCTTACATCACACTATCATGAGTCTATCGTCACAACACCCAAGAATTTGTTGAATGCATGGACACAGGGATCTGTTCCAGGAGCAACAAGGCAGTCATGCCATGGAGCACCATCATACAAATTCAGGATGACTTTGTGGCAAGAAAGTATGTTCCAGCAGATGTGGACTTGAAGGAGCCTTCCAAGTTGCAAAATTGGGACACTATGGCCTTACTCAATTTCTGGCATGCTCAGCAGGAGAAAGGTGAAGGTCCAACATTCCTGTTCAAAGCATGGAAGAACAAAGATGGAGACATGGTAGCATTGGTTGCATCTGGGAATTTGCCTTCTCATCAGACTCATCAAGTCAGAAAGCAGATGATCTGAAGGCCTCAGAATTCATCAACCGACACCAAGAGTGATCCCAGGAGTAATCCCAAGAGTGGCTCTCATCACATGGAGGATGATGCTGATGATGACACAGCTGACAGTAGACCACCACAAAAGAGACTCAGAAGAGAGCCAGGTCCTTCGATAGCACATGAAGGGACAGTGGTCCCATGTGCAATTCCAAAGGCTTGCCCAGTCAAGCCAGCGAAAACTAGTGCACTGCTAACATCACAAATGGGCAACCTCCTGGCTGGGTTGACTGACGGAGTCGCCAGCAATGTTGAGGAGGATGTTGCAATGGAAGGAGGGCACACATCTCTGGCACCAAAGAACATGCAGGGAAAAAAGCAGTGATTGAGCCATCAGTGAGGACAACCCAGAGTAAGTCAATGCAACAGCCATCAGACAGTACCCCTCAAGTGACTAGAGCAAGGGGAAAGAAGTAATGGACTTATACTACACTGCCTGCCTTTATGTACATGTCAATTTCAATCTCTATGGCTCAGGAGTTCCTGAGTGTTGAACATGAAAGTTTAATTCTCACTTTGGCTCACTGAGTCCCAAGTGCCGAACACAGAAGTTTAATTCTCACTTTACTGAGGATCACCGAGTCCTGAGTTCAATCATTGAATTGAACTTGGGACTTGGTGATCCTCAGTAAAGTGAGAATTAAACTTCTGTGTTCAACACTCAGGACTCAGTGAGCCAAAGCAAGAATTAAACTTCCATGTTCAACACTCAGGAACTCCTGAGCCTCCAGAACTCAATTGGAAATGGAAGAGGAATGCATCGCAAATTTGGTTGTTTACATGATGTGGGTATGTTAATGAAAATTTGGAAGTCCACATGTGATTTGACTACTATCAGAAATTTGGTAATTTACATTTAAATTTGATCTTCAAAATGATTGATCAGAGAATCTACTACCTTGAGCATTTCGATGCTCATCCGTTGAGCTCTTTGCAACCTCTGGAGGTCTGCATCAGCTCTTCTGAGTTTGTCGGAAGTTTCTGCCCAAGCCATCTGGAAGGGTCGCTCAGCCTCGAGTAGCAGTGGAATGGAAGGATCAGGAAGATCCCCAGTACAGTGTTTGTAATCACTGAGTCAATCTTGAATGGATTGCACTTGCAGAAAAATTAGCCCAAAGATAAATGATTTACTGTGTCAGATACTCACACCTGGTGTGTTTGTATGACCTGAATAGTTGGAACTCCCAGACCATTGAACATAAATCTTTGTCAGTGAGCTCTGGCTATTGTGAATCAAGTTTGGTAGATGTTTCATCCACTTGGGAGATATATTAAGTATCTATAATCCTCTGGAATGAATGAACTCACATGACATAGACACTTCTGATGCAGCTGGAGCATCAATCTTAGGATCAGCAGAATCCAGCAACTCATCCACATCAATGATATCATCCTCAGGCCCAAGGTACAAGTCTGGATTGATGGGAAAACCTGGATGATCAGCTTGAGCTGGAGGTGATTGATCTGCAAGGGTTTAGTGAGCATGCATGGTGATCCTTGATCCTAATGAATGTATACAGGTATTGCAGCCAAGACATCCAGTGATCTGGATGACACAGAATCATATTCTATGTCATCATCCAGCCCAAGGTATAGATCATCTAAGGGATATCCAGTAAATAGATGAGGCACAATAAAAATACAACATGCCTAGTGGTACCCAGGACACAGAGTACTCAACCACATCCATTGAATTGTAGTTGGTCATTGGAGGGTCATTAAATTGAACAGCTGGCTAAGGGCTCATGTTGTGTGGGGAACTGATTGACTTGTTGACTGATAATCAAAAAAACTTCAAAGTTCAACACAAAACTGGCAATTGCCAAAAGTTGAACTGTGACCAAACAAAGACAAACAATCAACAATTTTATAGATCATCCATCAAATGTCTTGTTTCTTTTGAAACTTTATCCTTGTGATAACTGATTTCAACCTGATTTCAAGATCTTTAAATCTCTTAACTCAATCATCATGTCCACTCCAGTTGACACCTCTTTGACTGGTCTCAAGGCATCCACTGCCCAGATCATGGCCATCATCAGCGGCACCCAGCAAATTCCCCTGGGTTCCAGCCACTTTGCTCTGACATCACAGGTCAGTACACTTGTGGTATGTAGCATTCTTTTTGTTTCTTTTTTTCTCTCTAACATCCAGGCAGGCTCATGTAGTCAAGGAGTATGGGGCTGGACCCCTGCCAGGCATCATGCTTTTGTGCTCCAAGGAGCTAATGTGCATCCAGAGCATAACTCCCCAGGTCTGGCCCAACTGGCACAGCATTGGGTATGATAATCCCCATCTTTTGAAGCACATCTGGTGTGCCAAGCTTCTCACCTGGGAGGTCTTAGGTGACCATGCCTTTGGTCTCCCAGTTGCTGCTCATCCTTCCACAGGTTTGATTCCAGTTGACCTTCCCTCCCCACCTATCCTTGCCAGCAATGTTCCAAGTCCTTCCACCAACACCACCACCAAGTACTGGGACAAGGGGAAAGGTAAGTCCATTGTTACCAACCTGGAGCCTGAGACAAAAGGGAGTAGGAAGAGGAAGTCTCCCATGATTTTGGCACTCTCCTCCCAACCGCTGAAGTCTGCAATGAAGACTCACAAGTGTACAAAGTCATCTCGCATTGTGAAGTCCAAGCCCATCATGGAGTTGGAAGATGAGGAAGACACAATTATTCAGGTATATCATCTGGTTCATCTTTTACATTTTCTCATAGCCATTTTCAGGTGGAATTCCAGAGGTCATCCTTCCCTGATTCTCCAATTTGCCTCAATCACCCAGGGTTCCAATGAAAAAACCCTTTGGCCCTGCCACAGTAAGTCACGTTTATGTGTCTGGGACTTGGGTGTATGCTTACAATGTAGCAGGTGATTGCCAGCAGTCACCCAGCAGTCATCAAGCCCTCCAAGCCAACTCCTGAAACCCCAGTGCAGGTACCCCCAGTTATCAATGCAGGTGATATTCTCATTCCCAGACTGGTGAGTACTTTGATTTATCTGAAGTGCATCCATACACTAACACAACCCACAGAACAACCCATGCCAGGCTTGCAACAAGCTAGACTGGCCCTGCACAACTCAGTTGGACAAGAGGACTGGGAATCCATGTATGTTGTGCATCTCCATGACTCTGGGATCCCCACCGAAATGTATTTGTGATTCCTCTACCACTTGGAAGACAAGGTCCAGGACACCCTCCAAGGCTCCCTCCAAAGCTCCCCCTGCCTCCCAATCCAAGGCCCAAACTTACAGTCAGTCTTGTGGCCTGTCCAGAACTCTGGTTGTCACTGCTGTGACAACCCCCACACTGCCATCAAGGCACCTGCACCTGCACTAGCTCAAAAGTCACCCAAGTTTTTTTCATCATCATCTGACCTTAATTTTCCCTTGTAGTACTTCTGTCTTTGAGTTTGGCAGTCCCTGCTGCAGCACTTGATGTGCCTGAAGTCATCAACTGGCACCCTTCATTCCCAATTCCTGACCCTCCTGCCAATGCAACATCCTTGTTGCTTGATCAATCCATCCCCACATCCATGTCACCCCCTGAATCTGCACTCCCTCCTCTCATTGATCTCTCAATGGCAGGGATGGTGCCCATACCCCCAAAATTCAAGGATGCCTCTGCCATTGAGGGTCTCCTGTTTGAGTACAATCAAGTTGTTCATCCAGAGGATCCAGATATGCCTGGTGAAATTGTGGACCTGGGTGATCTGAGCAACCTTGTCCCAGAATACAATTCTTCTAATGACATGGATGTTGAGATGGATGTTGAGGTGAAGGTTGAAGTGTCTTCTGAGGAGGTTGACATGGCTACATAATTGCATAGTGATAGATGTATATACAAGTTTTTCAATGATGTCACCTCTGCCAGTCCATTTATCAAATCACTGAGTTTTGAGGACTGAGTACCAAAACCTGAAACTTGAACATCAAAACTCAAAACTCAAAACTCAAAACTCAAAACTCAAAACTCAAAACTCAAAACTCAAATCACTGAGTACTAAGTACCAGGTACTGAATACCAAGTACTGAAACCCAAAACTTGAGACTTGAATCTTGAGAGTTGACAATCAAATCTCACAAAAATGTATACAACATGAAACTTCAGGTGTCAGCATCTGGTACTTGGCACTTGGTGAAGAGTTTCAAGTTTCAAGCTTTGGATGTTGGTACTCAGGTTTCAGTACTTGATACTTGGTACTCAGTGATTCAAGACTTGAAACTTGAAACTTGAAACTCATGAGTTTTGAGTTTCAATGTTTGAGTTTTGGGTGTTGATACTTGGGTTTTGGTACTCAGTACTCAGTACTCAGTGATTCAAGACTTGAAACTTGAAACTTATAAAAATGTATAAGTTTTGAGTTTTGAGTTTTGAGTTTTGAGTTTTGAGTTTTGAGTTTTGGGTTTTGGGTGTTGGGTTTCAGTACTTGGTGAATGTCAGACATGGTGTATTCAGGCTTTTGGGTTTTGGGTTTCCATGGTTGATGGTAGGTATATGCACTCATATAGGGAAATAGTATACCAATACCTTGGCCCTTACATCTATGGACTGTATTCTGAGTTGACAGGGCACTTGGCTGTGTTGATTTTGATCAACATGGACAGGATCTGAGTGTTAAGAACCAGTTTGCTCAAGGGAGAGAGAGACTGACTCAGAGGGGCTTGGCCTCAGCTCATATGCTGTGCCCCTTACCCAAGTATGTGCCCTTCATTTCAGATGAAGTCCAATGATGGTTTGATGAAGTCTAAAGGACTTCCAGAGGCTGGCTACTCTGGTGAAGTGTGGGAGGACTTCCGGAGGAGTGCGGGAAACATCCAGAGGAGTGCGGGAGAGTTCCAGAGGAGTTCCCACTACACAGGAAGTGGAGAGACCCCAAGGTAATATCTCTATGGGACACAGGATGGAAAGGTAGGATATCTGGAGGTCTGGAAGTATGGGGGACAGGAGGACAGGACATCCAGAGGTCTGGAAGGAATAGGGGCTACATTGGACAAAGTCTGATGTAGAAGCAAACAGAGGTAGACTACCCTTAGGTAGAGTCGGAGAGACAGGAAGTGGACCAAAGTCCAGAGAGAGGGTAAGTGCCAGAAAGGCAAGACTCTAGCCTAGGGAAGCAATCCCTAGACTTGGGACAGAGACATAGGGGATAAATCCAAAGGTCCAGAATTCTGGCCTAGGGAATCCATCTTTAGGCCTTATGGAAAAGGACAAACTCAGATGGACTGAAGTCCGGAAGAAGATTGGGCAAGTCTAAGGTGATATTCAGACTAAGGATTCTACTGGAGTTGTACAGGGGTTATATACTAGAGGATATCTGAGAGGATCAGTAAGCAATGGAGTAAGGCTATGTACAAGCATGCAGAAACACATTAGTAAGTGAGACAGAACATAAGTAAATGAACTCAGAGATGAAACTAGTATAAGGATCAATCAGCAAGACGGAAACAGAGATAACCAAGGAAACAGGACTGAGATATGTGAGGTGGTGGATGTAGTCTGGAATCCAAGAGGAGGTAAAGTCCTGATGTCTTGCTGGATGGAGTGTGCATAGGGTGGACAGGATTGGGGTATATGGATCAGGCTAGTAGTGAAGATCTGGAGGTCCAGAGCTCAGGGGTAAATCCATAGCAGAGCTAATCCTGCTGAGGTGTGGAGCACACGGCAGAAGAGGATCTGGGAATGAGTTGGATATGGGGTCTGGAAATAGGCCTGGAAGGTGTGGGAATATTATGGGATCTAGGTCTGGCATACAGAATACGACACTGAGCCTGAATGTCATTGATGACTTGGATCACAACTAGTGCAACAGCATTGCTCATATGTCCATATAGTATACCAATACCTCAGCCCATACATCTTAATGATACGTATCTGGGCCCACCCATCTATATGACATCCCCCTATGTTGGCCCATCCATCTATATAATACATATTTCACCACACCCTCAGCCCACACGTCTATCTAATATACCCCACGTTGGCCCACCCATCTATATAAAATACCCCAGGTCAGCCCACCAATATACATAATAAATATTTCACCGCCCCATTGGCCCACCTGTATATACAGTGGCTCAACAAAGTGTCTCAATGTTTGTGACTTTTTGTGTAATTGCTGTATTATGAGCTAGGGTGTGAGAATACAACTAAGCCATGGGGAGGTGTGGGAAAGCTCTGCTTCTAAGCTTTATGTTTGGTCCCTCTAGCGTGAGAAAATTATGTCATCAAGTGAAGATATGGTTAATTTAATTTGGTGACTCATTGAGACACTTTTTTGACTTTCAGTTTGACCAACACAATCTCTATAATTCTGGTACTTGGTGTTTCCTCCTGTTGCTCTAATTACTTCTGCCACTCTTCTATGCATACTATCTATCAATTTGAGGCATTCCTCATCAACAATCTTGCCCCAATCTGCTGCAACTCTCTCCCACAGCTGAAATAACCCCTATTGAGGATCTTGATAGACTGCAAGTGATATCTTGAGTAATTACCAGGGCTGTTTAATAGGGTTGAGGTCTGAGGACTGGACTTGCCATGATAGAACACTGATACCATAGTTTTCAAACCATTTTATGGTCAACTTGAAGTATGCTTAGTGTCATTGTCTTGTTAGAAGGTAATGTTTTCTTTATTAATTCTTGATTCTTGCATGCTGCTTTGCATTCATCCTCCCCCCCACCTCACAGAGAATTCCTACTCCATTCCACCTCATATAACACCATACCATCAAGTTTCCTACTCCATACTTTAGTGTTTTCTTGACCTTTCCTTCTTCTAGTGGTTCTTTGGCATTTCATTACATATTGTTACAATACCCCACTCTTTTTCCCATCATCACTGTGGACACCTTATGGTTGTACTCATGATACTCCCTTTTCACTGTGCTGTTTCCTCATGGTCTCTCTTATCTCTGACTCATACCCTGTTTTCCCATGAACCTTCCTTTCCTAGTATTCGTTACCCTTAGCCCAGCCTGGTTTGTGCACAATTCTCTTATGTATATAAACCCTAGTTACTGCTTGTATTTTCGCTAACTTGAATCTACTCAGTTCTCTTTCATACCTGAACTCTAGCTCCTTGGGAAGAAGGCTAGCCATTGTCCCATTTGAACTCTAGATTTTGCAGGAGTCTAGATGATTGCTCCTGAGGGAGGCATTGACTTGATAAGGCTTCATCCTTGATTGACCTTGATCCTTGATTCCTTTATTGGAATGATGCTCTATCCGAGTTTGTAACACAAGATTCAAGTTACTTCTGAACCCCTCCATCTGTAGGGCTTTACCTTTTGAACCCATGAAACTGATTGATTGCCAAAGTGGCACCTTCCAAGAAAAGCAAGAAGGCTTTCTCTGAATGATCAGGAATTCCCTATAGTCCTTATCTACCCAACTCTCCTAGACAAACCTCTTCATTGCAAGGATCCTTTGACACTCCCCACACTCCTGTTCTCCCTACTCTTGCTGTCCCAGGCCCTTCATCTATTACACACCACACTATTGTTTCTCATTTTGAAACAAGTGCACCAGCACCTGTAGAAGACAGAGACAAAGAAATTCCTGACGCTCTGCCCACTGAACTGGTAGCACCACCCAGATTCCCCTCCCCTGAACCAGAACCATCAGACACTGACTCAGACTCAGACTCTGACTCCAACTCCAACATGCCAAAACCAATTGAAAGAAAGATCTGTACACCACCTGACTTTGATGGGAATCAAGATGGAACCTCAAGGTTCCTTCATCTTGTCACACTTTATCTAGACATGAATGAAGAAATATATGACACCGACACCAGAAAGATTGCCTTTGCTCTTTTATTTATGAAAGAAGGCATAGCCACAGCATGGATGGAAGACTTCATCAAACATGCTCAGCAACCTGATCCCACATCCACTACTGGAGAAAAGAATGGATATGGAACTTGGGACAAATTCATCTCCCAGTTTGAAGAAACCTTTAACCCAATTGACTCAGCTGGTACTGGGCTCCATAAGCTCTATGCCCTTAAACAAGGCAATGACTTAAGTGAGTACATAGCCACATTCTGACAGCTCTGTAACTGAGCAGAGATCTACAGCTTCAACACTCAGAAAGACTACTTCCTCCAAGGCCTTAAACAGCCACTCATTACAAAACTCTGCAATTCTGGAGAGATCCCTAACACCCTTGACGGAATAGTCAAGAAGGTAGTATCCATCAAGAACTCCTATCAGCTTCTCCTTTCCCACAGACCCTAGAACAACAATAGAAACACCTGATTCAATGATCAACAATTCACCCCATGATTCACCCCTAGAAACAATGACCCTAACACAATGGACATTGATCGCCTCTCTGAGGCTGAGAAGAAAGAATACATGAAGCAAGGAAAATGTTTCTCTTGCAGAAAAGTTAGTCACAGATCTAATGACCAAGAATTCCATCCTCAAAATGGAGATGTCAGAAAGAATAACTATAAAGGAAAGCAGATGGTAAAGTGTACAGTGCCTAAAGAAGAAGATATCAGCAAGATTGAAGATCTCAATGATGAAGAAGATCTTAGCACCAGAAGAATGGATTTTTGAACCAGGAACCTACCACAATGTTAGCCACTCCTTGTATCAATGTACATATCGCACACAATGGAGGAAAAACTAAAGAATTAAGGGTCCCAGCAACTATCTTTTCCTCCATACACCCCAATACATCATTGCAAACCACTACTGTTGTTGACTGTGGTGCAGCTGCCACATTCATCCATTGGATGTTTGTAAGAAAGCATAGAATCAAGACACACTGCTTCAAAATACCCTTCCCTATCCGAACCACTGATGGA